TTTAATACGATAAACAACTGTCCTTAGGTTACAGCTAAATGTTTATAATATATTTTCAAAATATTGTTTCTATTGTGTATAAATTTACAAAAGTCCCGTAAATCCACTATTTTAGTAGATAATAGTGGATTTTACTGACAATATTCGGTATAATGTATGTAGAATTAGTATACGGTTAGTACATTTTTAATAGCTTCACTGTAAGAAATGTTTATTAACATAGTTACATTTAAAACATTCATCCAAACTATGTGTTGAGTTTATTAATTATAATTCAATTGACGTAAATCTAAAAATCTGAGAAGTTTCAATTATTTCTTAAGTCTCTCTCTCTCTCTCTCTCTCTCTCTCTCTCTCTACAGGTTCTCACAAGAAGTGACTCTTCAAGGAAACTGAGTTTTGAAATTAATTTCTTATATTTTAAAGGCATTTAGATGTTTGCAATTTATTGTTTGTCTCTTAATTTTTGAGATGAATAACTTAATTATTAATTGCTTGAAGAAACGTATTTATAAATATTAGTGCATTAGATATTATTGCAAATAAAAATTGAAATAATAATTATCGAGAGAGAGAGAGAGAGAGAGAGAGAGAGAGAGAGAGAGATCATGTTTATGTTTACTGTGTTATCCAAAGAATCAATTTATTATTATCACTGAAAATCTATCATTGAGTGTATTATTGGAAACAAACATTTAATGTGAAAATAATTACTAATTTCTACTATAAGTGTAATCACATTTTTGGTTATAAATAAACAGCATATAAAAATCTCATACAATAATGTTTGTTGCTACTGTACCAAGTACTTTAATACTTTAATGTATTTTAGTTTTCTAATGGTTAAAACAGAAAAATATTTTCGACCATAAAATGAAATTTGAATTAAAAAAATTAATTTTTATAAAGTATTGAAAAGAAAGGTAAAAATACAGTATTTAAGGAAAATAGGGAAAATATTTTGCTCATAAGTTGTCTTAAGACTATTAAAATTATAAATTGATTCTTAAGAAAATACTTAAGTTTTAATAGAAGCATATAATTTTCGAAAACACTTGAAAGTTTCGACATGTGTTTATTATTTTTAGAAAATATGTTTATTAAGAAATGATAATATTAAACAAAAATGTTTTTGTTTGAAAAAACAATTACTATTAAAAGCATTCAAAGACTATAGAGATTAATGCTAAGTTACAGACAATAAAATACATTGAATTATGATTTTAATAATGGCTTTACTTTATTACCACAAAGTATCTGAAAATTGCAGTTTGAATAAACATCAGTAAAAAATATACTTGGTGTTATCAATTAAGTAAGACTTTAAATAATAAACAACAAATACATACAAAAGCTATGAGTAGTGACTATAATGTAATAAATTTTGTGGAAACAAAAGGATTGTTTTCCGACTGAAGGCTATGTATTTGTGGCGATCCCTAACCGAACTAATTATAGCCACCTGTATATGCCTTTCAAAACCTCTAAATCCCTGTCCACATAATTTGTAAAACTTTTGTGTGTCGTGCCATTGAAGGCCATTATCTGGGAATCACTCATTCATTCAATCATTTTATGGGATCTCTTCGAAGAGTTTTTTGTACAAAAAATATAGTTTTATTTTTTATCAAACGATTTAATGCATTAATTTTGAGATTTTCAGATCTAAAGTACTTTAATGTAAATTGTGGACATATTTTATGGGGTTTTTAATTTTAGCTGTAGATATAATCACTAAAATTAAATTAAATTAATTTTATTTGGTATTTTATTTCGTATGCTATAAATAAAATTATATCTACTTAATTATATTTAAGTCAAGAAAATTAATTGATTGTGAATATATTTAGCAGGGACACTTGAACCCAGTATTATCCTGGTATAAGACAGTTGCACTAATTTTAATAATCTCCAGTTATATAAACTTACACTGTAAGTCTTACAGTATAGAAATTACAACTAGGTATATTTTAATGAGGATTTTGAGGTATAATAGCTTTGTATTAAATAATGCAAATAAATGGGTACAATAATATCATTAAAACTACTAATTGATTAATAGTATAAAATTAATTTAATAAATACATACATACATTTATTTTATCAAAAGCTTTGCACATATAACCACTTTATCAAATGTTTAGTACAGAATGCACTCTTAAAAATAATTAAATTGTTAAATAAAAATAAATATTAAGGTGATATACTAATTAAACTAGTCAAAATGACAGAATTAAATAAACTCAATATTAAATGTTAAATAATTTAAACAAAATATTATAAAATAAATTGATTCAGTAATCAAACGATTTCGAAAGATTTTAATTTATTAAATATTTCTCAAAATTTTCGAAAACAGACGTCAGAAATACTGGCAAACCATTAATATTAAATTTAGTAATTAATCTTATTTTATGAATTTATTTCCAAAACTCACCCGTCATATCAGTTTTGTTATATAAGAAACTCAATGCTAAAACTATCACAAAACTTTATAGCAATTTGTTTTAACAAACTTAAAACACACATAGATTTGAATAAAACAATATCACCAAAATTTGATACAACATTCAAATATTTCAAACAAATCGTATTTAGCGTTTGAATAAACAAAGAGTTCACTGAATATTGAAATATGAGGAAAAATATGCACTCTGTTTATGTAATTATAATTAAATTCACTATACTTTCAGTGGGAATGGACTGACTTTCCTGTAGGTATTGGTGTACTCTTTCTCTCGTTATAATTATGTAAAAAAGAGTTAACGTATAAATGGGTTTAAATTTAATTGTGCACTTCATTTGTATGTCTATTCACAGATGAAAGGGTGAGTGGAGAGGTAGAAATGGGGGCTTTCCCTCCGAATAATGACCATTGGGTACAGATGGCTTAATTAGGTGGGTGCACATAACACACATTCACATGCGAATTAGTGATATTATGTAGGAGTATAGTAGGCCTGACATAAAATTTATTACATGAATGTCAATACATATGAATAATCCCAACATTTATATACCTGTTTATGAGGATAAGTTTGCGTTAATCCCAAATTGAGAGAGAGAGAGAGAGAGAGAGAGAGAGAGAGAGAGAAACGACTGAGTCATTGAAATTGAAAAATATAAATACAATAAAAGTTTTGGAGGAAATTTAAATGTTTTTTGTTTCTAATGGCACAGCCTATCAATGAATAGTGGGTTTAGAAATCGCATTTCAATTGAAAATTTTCATTTTAAATTCACAATATACTGACAGATTCTCTCCCATGTATTGCAAAATGCATTTATAATTCATGACATATTATTTCTCCATTAAAACATACCTTTAAAATTTAGTTTTTGATGTTTTAGTTGTTTTTTCGCAATATAAACTTACATTTTTCAAAACACTTGCAAAACATTTTACAAAGAAATATCTTTTTTAATTTGCGTTATATTTATGTTAAAATAAATCATGATCACGATCAGTTATAATAAATCAAAAAATAATTTTCCAAATAAATAATAAACTTATTTTTTAAATAAGATTTATTAATATATAAAAGTTATTTGTGTAACAATTTTATATTATTTGTTATGAGAAAAACAGTAATTAATTTATTTTTAGTGATATTAAAATTGAATGAATCATTAAACAGCAATATAAATAACTTATTTTAATTATTATCTATTTTTAAAACAACATTAAAGATTACACTGAAGGCTACCAGCCCTCCTCATACTTTGCCGAGTCGTCAACAACATACACATTAGTAAAGTACCCGGCTAATAAAGGTATAACAGATAATGTCGTTAGTAGTGATGATAACAAAATAATTGTTAGTTTTGTAAAGAGTTTCGATAATTATGCAAACGATGGCAGACATCAGTCGACAAACTATTCTGCGGTCAACAGTCGCTGGAGATAATCGCCAGAAGTGGTGGTTATCGGAAGAACTCCACTAAAACGACGACTACCGGTGCCGATCAGGAGTCCAACACCGCCATTATGGTGGACACCAAGAATCTGAACTTTCATGTGTTTAACTTTATGCTGTTGAAGTTCAGGAATATTACGACCCTGACCATTAGGAATTTGATGCAATTGTCGGACATTATTATGTTTACGATTACAGAGAATTGTGACAAATTGTGCTCGTTGAATTTCTGTGAATGCAGTGGATTAGCACTCGACCACAATACTGAGCACTCTATATTCAATAGCCTCACCGGTAAGTTAGCCAGATTATTATATTATTGATTTTGTTATATGTTATGTTTGCAAATTAATTCTTTATTTATAACTTTTACTTTTAATCCAAAAAATTATTAAATTTTGCTATATTTGCACTCATAAATGCCCTTAATATGCCCTATTAGAATTGCATAGAGGTTATATAATAAATCATAATAAAATCTTTTGACAAGTTTTAAACCTAATCACTGTTTATTTTAGATGTTTGTTAAAAATATTTTGTAGCAAAGTACTCAGTAATAAGCGAGAACAATCAATTCATATTATATTAATTATAACTAAATAGTAACTATTTAATACTGTAGTTAAATCCATAGACTTTTACTAACATTTAAAGCAAACCAGTATTTATTGGATTAATGCAGTGAAATGCAGTTTAATCTCAATTATGTCAACAGATTTATATGTTATTTATACTGAATTCATATTGAATTTGATTGCTTGAATTAAGTGCACTTTATGCCCACTGTATTGATAGTAAAGCTATATTTATCACCAAAAATGTACTCTTATTTTCAATGTTTAAAAATAACCCAAACTTTCCATTCATATCCAAATCGATGTCAAGGCTACGGCTGGCACCTACTGACTCAGGCCTACCCTAACCTCAGTTCACTAACACTACGCCAGTGTCGACTGAACGAGCAGGAGTTGACCAAGATAATCGCCGCCTGTGACAAACTCAAGCACCTGGACATCAGTGACAATCAGGTGGTGGGCGAGAGTGTGACACATCTGGGCTCACGGATCGAGACACTGGTCTGCGGCGACCTGTCCTCCGATGAGACACTCGAGCAGATCATAGCAAATGTGGTGAAAGGGAACGGCCGTCGGCTCCGGTGTCTCACGATCTTCGGTGCCCTCAGTTCGCTATCGGCGCTGAAATACATGTGCCGTTTGGAGCACTTGGAGCTTCACTTTCATACGGATGAGGAGAATATAACGTTCCTCTCGGATATCGGGTGTCTGTCCCTCCGGGTGCTGGTCTTGGAGCAGATCAGGTGTTACGAGCAGATGTCGGCCATCGATGAGCGACAGTTCCAGCAGATGCTGAGACACTCGAAACAATTGCGAAGACTTTGTATTAATGGTGATTACGAGTGGGATCTGAGATTAAGCGATAAATCGCTGGAAAAGTTGGTGATTATGTGTCCAATGCTCGAGGATTTAAGTCTTACCGGTATTTATGAGTTTATAATTTTTTGTTTTTACTTTAATTACTTCTAGTTAATTTGCTTTAAATTACTTTTTTATAATAAACTTTGAATTATGTTTGAGTTATTTTCGCATAAATTTAATGATTCTGTAGTAAAATGTTTAAAAATTTGATGTGAAGTACAAAATATTAACTTATATTTTAAAATATAAACAAAATTTAATTATCTCCATTTACTATGAATTGGTTAAACGGAATATTATGTACAGTAGTTATAATGTACTAATGATTTTTCAAGACTTTTAAAAATTAATTATTCTGTTTATGTTGTATATAATGTGTTTACTTTAAACTCTAGTATAAGTTTTACTGTGATATATGCTATAGAATTAGACAATTTAATGGAAAATAATGTTTTATTCCCTCTTTTAGGAAATGGCTTAATCAGTGACACCGGCATCACATGCCTATCGGCGCTGCCATTACAACGCCTAACCCTCTCAGCATTTCACTCCATAAGCGACTCGTCGGTCAAAACACTATTAAACAAAACCCAACTCAAGACATTAGTATTGACAGACTTATCGCAAATCACCGAAAATCTGGTCATACGTGCGATCAACGTGTGTGAGGAGCACCGGGAGCGTCGTATCGACATAACCCTCTGTACGTCACAATTAAACAAGAAAATGTTGGCCAACCTGTCGCTGCCTAAGAACCTGACCCTCCGGGTGGACACACAGAGGAGTAATAAGCTGTCGGATGAGGAGCCGTCCACTTTCCAGATGATGATTGTCATCGGGATGTCAGCCCTCATACTACTGATGGCGCTGTTGACTACGATTGTGGTGGTGTTGGTGCCGATGGCTATGGCCCTGATGATGATCCACGAGTACCTGATCCACAGTTTTGTGATGGATATGCCAAACATTTCTTATCATTTGAAAGGATCCCTGAGCTCTAATCTATTGCTCATCAAACAGGCGTACCTTAAGCTCATGTATTCAGTGATTTAGTCATTAGTTTCGATGTGTTTTTAATGAAAAATAATTTATTTGTTTTATTGACAAAATTATTTATTTAACTCATTTATTTGGTGTTTTAAGTCAAAAATCATTTGTAGTCAAAATTATTGAAGAATTTTTAACATGTTTTACATCCTTTTCCCGCCTGTCCTCCCTGTCCTCAATGATCCTAATGTTCTATATATATATTAGACTTTATTTAGTTGTTAAATACAATGTATGACTCGATATGTGAATAATTTATATGATTTTTAATGGTGTCGACCATTTATGTGTATATTTTAATTGACATTTAACTTATTTGTGTGTAATTTGTATTTAAATCTTATAATTTGTAATTTCTTATGTGACTACTTTTTTTGTAAACCAATTCTCACACAAACTCATGAAAACAATCATTTAATTTATTTTACTATACGGTAATTAATTGTCTGTTCTACGAAAAAATATGTGAAATTACAATAAAAGTAATTAATTTTACAACTGAAAAATGCATAATTTTTTTACAAATTGAAATTTTAATTATAATGCAAACATTTATTTAAATGTATGCAGCATTTATAGGATTTTTTACAAAAAGGTCAAATTTACTAAAACTTTTTAATTTCTAAATTAAATTATAAAATATATTTTTGCACTAATAGACAAGTCATTACTGTAAATCTAAAATTAATTTTATTACTGAAATTTAATACGATAATGAAAAAATTAATTTACAGCATACAGTCAGTTAATAATGGCATCACTAATAATTATAGTGTATTATATTATATTTACATTATGTTTAAGCAATTGTCTACCGACTAAACTGTCCAGACAAGCGCCTAAACATAAAGATAGTAAATATGCGATTGTTCAGAAAACACCACCAAGGTAAGGTCTAGTATATATAGACAACAAGTAGTTATTTTTAACAATACTGTATTTCTACTAGTGTGCCATCAAATGATCAGAGTATAGCCACTAGTCCTAATGATGATATATCTACAGAAACTGCAAAAATAAGTGATACTGGTGCAAATGGTGGTGGCACATCTGTTGATGGCGATGAAGTATGGCATTTTTGCATAAAACTTTATACTAATTATTATAATTAATTTTAGTACAAGTTAACTTAACTTTTATTGCATAACAATGTAACTGTATGTACTCAACCATAAATTATATGCAGTATTAACTACAGTGTAGTTACTACACTATCAGTTAATTAAACAATAAAATGTATTTAAAAATTAAGTTAAAGTTAAATTACTAATTATGACTATTCATGATTTAATTTATGTCTTAATTAATCAATTAATTAACACTTATTTGAAACACAATTAAGACCCCGTATGAAGAGGCTAACGATTACGGAGTGCAGGAATCGGCCGTTCAATTGTTGATTAACGAGGGCTCAGGCGATGACAAGAGTCGGGTCACCACCACAGCGCTCGCCCCCACCCACACCACTACTGATATAATAAATATTTTGGATAACTTTAAGGACGGATTTGATTCAAAACTAAAGTTACGGCCATTGATAGAATTCCCCGAATGGGTTAGCACTGAGGGATCGGTAGCCCAAGAAAATCATACGGCGCCCACTGATCAAACAATAAGCACTAAGAATACTAAAAAGAAGTCAGTAGTCACGGGAGAGCCTACACAGCCGGGTGTTAAGCTCACAAACACTGTGGCTACTAATGAGGGGTCAGAGGGTAACGAGATTTCAACAACTGTTGATCCCTTCTCATCGATAAGGGACCCGAAGAGACCACTGCTTCAATTCCAGTACCAGGTTCACACAACCATAAACAATGCTAGTCTAACAGATGTGTTGGATGACATCAAAGAACCTGACATACCTTCAGTTGAGTCCATTTCCTTTATAGATCCTCACGAGGTGTCAGAGGTGACGGAAGGGGATACGAAAGCCAGTGATCTAACTATAGGCACACCAGAGACTAATAAGAAGTCGAAAGTTATCCCAAAACTAACGGCACCCATAACTCAATCCATAAACACTTTGAATACCAGTAAGGAGTCAGAGATAACGAAAAGTCATACAGAATCCAGTGTTGAGGTGCTAAGCAATACCAAAACTAATGTAAGGCCAGGGGTCACGAAAGGACTCCCAAAATCTATTGTTAAACTAATAAAGACTGTGAATAAAGATAAGGCGATAAAAGTTATCCAAAGTCTTACTCCACAGACAAGACTATCATTAAATACAACACCTAATAATGAGTTATTAGAGGTGACCGGGGTAACTACAGAACACTATACTACTACTGAGTCAAATTCGGATGAGAGGTTCGAGGAAGAACTTAGTGGTTCGTTGAACACTACGGATACCACTAATAACTCAGATGATATGGATAACCAATCAGAACCCAGTGACCAGTCAGCAATTAACGTAACTGACGAGGGTTCAGTGTACATGGATAAACTCGACCATTCTATGAACTCTACCGATTCTTATCAGAATTCAAATGTGACGGAATTGGAGAAAGGACATACAGAATCCAGTGTTCAGACTACTAGCACTGCCAACGTTAATGAAAAATCAGAGGTTACTGAAGAATCTACGGAATCTGTCGTTCATTTAATGAGCACTACAAATACTAAGACGGATACACAGGTCCCTCATAAACTTACGGCACCGACAACTCAGTCCACAGATACTACAAACACTAATGAGGGGTCAGAGGTTACGGAAGGACATACAAAACAGTCCATAAGAACTACAGTTGTCGACAACGATGGGTTAGAGTTCTTGCGAGAATTGGATCAGACATCAAACGCCACGAATACTAATGAGAGTTCGTATTACAACGAACCACTTACAGAATCACATGTCCACTCCATAAGCACCACAATAGCCTACGAGGGGTCGGAGTTGATGGAAGAACTTAGAGGTGCGCTGAACAGTAGGAATACCACTGAGAGTTCAGGGGTCACGGATGGACATACAGAACAGACTGTTCAGAATACAAGTGCTATAACTGGTGATGACGGGTCACCCGATGAACTTATTGAGTTTGCTAACGCTGTAGAGGTCACGAAAGGGCAAACACATCCTAGCGTCCACTCCGTAAGTACTAAACCTCCTGGTGAGGGATCAACGTTGAAGAAAGATCTTGCTCAGTCAATAAGCCACACCAAGTCTATAGACACTACCGATTCCACTGTGAGTTCAAATGTTGCCGAAGAACATATCGAGTCCACTACTGATCATACTATAAGCACAACACATTTTATAAAGAACTCAAAAGCTAGTCAACTGTTTACGGCACCGACAACTCGATCCATAAACACTTTGAGTACTACTGAGGAGTCAGACGTATCTGAAGGACATACTGAACCCGGTGCTCATTCAATGACCACAGCAAATGCTAACAAGGGTTTAGAAACTACCGAAAAACTGAGTGCATCGTCAACTCAGTCCCTATTGTCTACTAATACTATTGATGGATCAGACGATATACAAGAACACACAGAATCTATTGTTCAAATCGTTGACAGAATCAACGCTAATGTAAGGCCAGAGATCGCTGAAGAGCATATTGAATCAACTGACTTATTAATAAACACAACAAAGTCTAGCAAAGGTTCAAAGACTTCCCATTCAGGCCCGACAACTCAATCCATAGCCACTATGACTACTAATGAAGGGACAGAAGTCACAGAAGAACGTACAGAATCCAGTGTTCGGTCAATGGTTACTCATAAACATCAGGTGCCGACAACTCAGTCAATGAACACTACGAATGCTAGTGAAGGATCAGAGGATACGGAAGAATCTACTGTTCAATCAATTAGCACAACAAAGACTAAGAAAAGTTTCAAAACTATTACGGGGTCAAAGGTTACTAAAGGGTCAAAGGCTACCAAGGGCTCAAAAGCTGCTAAAGGGTTAAGGGTTATTAAAAAACAGAAATCTCCTACAACTCAGTCCATATCCACTACGACTACTACTGAGGAGTCAGAAGTCGTAGAAGTAATCACAGGATCGGCGGCTGAGTCGGAAAACGACGCGACCACTACTGAGCTGTCCGGGGACGGGGAGGAACAGACGGAACTCAGTGACGAGTCCACGACTTCTGAGTCCATTAGCAACACCACTGAAGGGGAGGACATGGATGACGTGACACTTGCCGAGGAATCGGATATAAAGGTACCGAAGGGACCAAAGAAACCCAAGCGAAAGGGAGGGAAGAAGCACTGGTGGGACAACGACGACTTCCTTGATGGTGAATTTGATGAAGGTATAGTGTAGCCTGGCTAATTGATGATACTTTCAATAAAACAATTAGACCTATATGTCCCATAGATTAGGTGCCCTACGAATGCCGGGTATCATAAGAAGCAAATATGTAAAGAAAAGTCATAAAACTAATTTTCAATTCAATGCGAAGCACAAGAAATCAATTTTTAGCAATAAATTAAATAATAAATTCAGTAATAAAACTAAAACTTCAAAAGTGGTCTCAATTTTATCTCCAATGCATTATTCATCGAAAAAGTCTATAAATCATAAAAATATTTTAAGTGTGGTCGACAGCAAAGTTAAGACTAAAGTTTCTACGGACAAACGGATGTCCTTTGGGACATCCATCAGTAAATCGATTGGGAATATGTATCCATTGGATACCATGTTAGAATCGACGTCAAGTTTGACTCGTTTGATACTACAATGAATTCATTTTCCCAATAAATTATAAACATTTTGATTTCTATTCAATTATATTTATTATTCATGTGGTTAGGGTATGATATGTGTTTTGCAAAAATTCATTAATTAGTTTTTATTAGTATTTGATAATTTGGCAATTTTAATTTTATAATATAATCTGATTGCTAATTCATTAAATAAATATTTTAAAATTTTACATAAGTTTAAAAATACAGAATTTTATATTACTGCATTAGCATATCAAATAAGAGTATTATATGATAGAGTATTAAAACATTTATTGAAAAAATAAAGACATTTTGTGTAAAGTAGATACAGAGGTATAACTCAAACAAATTGATTTCTAATTTAGCACTTAATACTGATATTACCGCCAATTTGTGAGAGTTTAGGACACTTCCGGAGCAATTCAATCACATCTGACAAATTGACAGAAATATGTGGATCACTTTGTAGTGTATCTACTATTATAAGTGTATGAAGTAATAGGAGACTTGAGTACTGATCCAAACAAACGCCGTTTTGGTGGACAAATGGGTCCCAGATTTCTAAATACAGGAGCGCCGGTAGAATTGTGTGAAGTTTGGCAATCAATTTGCTACACATTGGGGATAAGGAGAGTGTCAGATGGGATATAGTTTGTGGCCATCGGCTCATTGACTTAAATGAATCCCATTCTCTAAAGTCTGTATTTCCATCACTTTTCACACTCAGATGTAAGACAAGACGCGATAATCGGCGGAAATGTCTGAACGAATCCATTATCTCATCATTGAGAGACGGATGGTTTGATCTTAAATATAGTGACAACTTCTTAAGTGACACACACTTTATACCGATATTTGTGAACTTGTTGTATAGTGAATACATTAAGATTTGGTCACAATAGGAGGTTATATGCAATTCAATTAAATCCGAAAATCGAGTCAATTGTGTGATCACTTGAATGACTAAGTCTTGAGATTCAGGAACTAAGTAAATGGCAAAGTGAAGGCGTTTGAGTGACTGATTTGCGGCAATGAATGTGTCAAACAGTGAAGCATTGAATGGCAAATCGATTGCAAACTTAAAGGTCTTTAAATTCTTAACCAATAATTGGTTTTCGGAATCGAAAACACCGTCCAATTGATTGACAATAAGATTCGATAAATTTGGACACAAAGGAAGGTATTGATTGTCGCGGAAATAATTGCCATCAAATCGGGTAATAATTTGACCAAACATTGAGAACACATATGATATGCACTCTTCATGAGCAGAATCATCAATACTTAGATACAGTTCCTTCAATTTGGGACAATAGACTCTAAACTTATGGATGGCTTCAAAGAATTGTTTAATTCTATCGAAAATATAGGAGCAGTCGATGCGCTCAATATTCGCACATTTCTTCATAATAATAGCCACACGATTGGCGTCAATGTATTCTTCGCCAGATTGGTTTCGTGCAGTCATCCTCCTCATGAGTCTCCCATCAAATTCGATGTCTTTCTGTGTCGTGTAAACCAATCTCTGGAACTGTTTAGAGACTGATTGGTGACGGAATCGATCGGTGAATGTCTCGTAAGACAGCAATACTTCACACAAATTGTCACAAATCCTGTCGAAAGTGTCTCTTCTGAAAGTTTCTGACATTCTTTAGACTCTTTGAGATGTAATAGGATTTACTAAAATGAAAAACTATTTAAGAAATGAATTTCAAGTTAAAACCACTATAATAACGGCAATAAATTAATTGAATTATTTATTTCTAATCGACAAATGAATGAATTGAAACTCAAATCAATAAATCACTCGCGAATAATACAATTAAATTACATTCATTTACTACTGGCTTTTCATTACAATTCAAATACATTCACAAATCTAATATTGAAATCAACGGACAATCTATAGACAGCAACAGTGATGGCAACCGCAGACTGGGATCCACAGAGTGAGACATTTCTCGAAGAAGACAAGAGAGCGTTGAGTAGAATAGGCTTTGATGTCGGCTCCTATATAGGGAAAGGCTTTTACGGAAAGGTATTCGGAGGGGTGTGCAACGAAAGGGCCTCCAAATTGGTCGAAGTGAACATCAATTTCGGGGGAAAGGGAAGCGCCGGGATGTGGAGCACCGGCACCCGACAGATGAGGGAAGAGTCACTGAACGGCCGCCCGTTTGCCATCAAATGGATAAAACCTCTGCCGCGCGACAATGTCTTGACAGAAGGCAAAGTACTCATGAGTTTGAATCACCCGAATGTGGTCGAGATCTTCTTCGTGACGAAAATGCAGTATAAAAACAATTACGTGATTATGGAGTACTTGAACGGACAGACGTTGGGTGACTTCCTGCAGACTCATCAGCGAAATAGGAGCCAAATATCACAGCCGGAGACCAAGAATATGATTCTCGACCTCTTGGAAGGCCTTAAGTATCTGCACAGTCAGTATGTCATCCACAAAGACATCAGTATCTTGAATGTCATGTTTCATACGATGGACGAGACTGAGCCCGAGCCCTACCGTATACTAAAGTACGTGGACTTCAATTTGGCTCAAGAGTTGTCGAAAGCCTTTCCTCAGGAGATGTTTGATTCGTTGAGTTTGGATGACATCCGACTCCTGGGCTTCACATACGACGCCATCAAAAGATATACTCAATTCACAGACACTGTCTTCGAGCAGGAGGTCAACGGGATTGTGATCCGCATGAAGACCACTAGTTTCCCAAGTATCTCTGAGGTCTACACCGCTATAACCAACTCTTTGGCCAAAACAGATCACAGGGCGTCCTTCAGTTCATCGCATTCTTCCTAAGACTCCGCCATTCATTGCATTGATAGCCCATTGATTGACAATCAGTTGATTCAGTTTTATGTTTTGTTTAAATCTTTAGATCATAAAATAAACTGTATTTGAAAATATGGTTGCATTGAGTTGTAAAAACATTAATTTGAAAAGTAATGAATTGTAACTTAAATTGCTCTTAAAATTATAGACTATTGGATTAGATATTAGATTTGTAATTATGTTATAGTTTTATAGCATATTAGTATAAAGTTTATACTATAAACACTATATTAATGAGTCATTAATGACTTACAACTTACAGTAATTTAATTACTCATATAGTATAGAATCTATAATAAGTTATTGAAAAACATTTAAAGTACAAAATACCTTAATTTTAATGAATAGTATTCATTGAATACGTACAAATTGAATAAAAGAAAGCAATTAAAATAATAATATAAGACTTTATGAATTTAGATTTACAAAATTAACTGTTTTACAAATTTAGTGTTGACTCTACTGTCAAAATGTCTGAAATTAGTTTTAAAGTTAGAATTTTATATCAATATTATGGCCTAAATGTCTCAGTTTTTGGCACATCTTATACAATGCATTCACGTCATTGAGATTGACTTCAATCTTAGGAAAACTATCAATGATGAGGGTCTGAAGGAGTGGTAGTCTTGAGTAGTGATTCAAACAAATTCGGTTTTCACTGAAAGATTGGTCATAGATTTTCAAATACTGGAGCGCCGGTAGGATTGTGTCGATTTTGGCAATGAATTCTGGACTCATTGGATGTAAACTGAGTGACAGGTGGGATATGCATTGCGGCCATCGACTCATTGACTCAAATGAATCCCATTCTCCTGAGTTGCCTACAGAACAGAGTATCAATTCTAGACGTTTTAAGCACCGGAAGTGTTGGATTGAATCTATGATCTCATCATTGAGTGCCGGATGATCTGTACTCAGTTGGAGTCTCAACTTCTTGAGAGACACACACTTTAGGCCGATATCTCTGAACGAGTTGTACAGACAATAGAAGACAAAATTTTCTAAGTGGTGGTTCTGATGGCTAAATAAACAAAAAGTAAGACTCAATTCATTTAAATTCGTTAATCGAGTCAAATGTTTCAGGAATTGAATGGTTGTCTCTTTGGATTCAGTATTCGGAGGAATATTTTTGACTTTAAGACGTTTGAGGGATAGATTGGCCGCAATGAATGTCTTGAAGAGATTGTTATCGAAGGTTATATTGGATGTGCAAATCATATTGAATTTAAGTGACACTAAATTCTTGACAAGTAATTTGTTTTGTGGTCCAAAGGCATCGGGAAGTACGATAAGAATCAGATGCGACAGATTTGGACAATCAGTCAGAGATAGTATGGCCCCAGAGTCCACTTCAGTGATACGAGTCAGTTGTTTGCCAAACATAGGGCACAGGAAAATCAAGAAGTCATTTGTGCCACCAGTTTGCTCCACATACAAATACAGTTCCTTAAGGTTAGGCCAATGGTGTCTAAACTGGTGAATGCTTTCAAACAGATGTCTATCATTATTAATTTGTGAGCAATCGATTCGTTGAACGTTTGGACACTTTCTCATAATAATGGCCATTCGGTTGGTGTCGAAGTACTCTTCACCAGTTTGTGTCTTTGTAGTCATCCTATTCAAGAGTTTGTAATCAATGGTCATGTCTTTCTGTGTTGTGTAAACCAATCTCTGGAACTGTTTAGAGACTGATTGGTGACGGAATCGATCGGTGAATGTCTCGTAAGACAGCAATACTTCACACAAATCGTCACAAATCCTGTCGAAAGTGTCTTTACGAGGGATTTGAGACATATTTTGGTTAATCCGGAAATATTACTCTAAATGACTAAACCGTTGTTATAACTTAATTTGCAAAATTGACACTGATTACTAATCAGTGATTAGTAATTAGTAATTACTAGAGTAGCAAAAAGGGGCTAATTGTTGCGCGGGACTAATAGCGGTAAAAAGTTTAGTTTTCAATGAAAACTTTTCATACTATGTATTAATTAATTAACTATGTTTTCATTTGAATTTTATTTGAATTAAACTTTAAATGTAATACAGTATTATTGTATACAGTATACAATTTATAAATCAATAAATTCTTGCACTCGAAAGCACCAATATTACAGTATAATGGGTTACCAGTGCTCTCTGACAGTCACACTATGTTTGTCCCAAATTGTCTTCAGCCGACTTGAAGGGGTCATACTTACAGTCCAGTCCACACTCTGATCGCCAGTCCACTGGTGTTAAGTCGGCGATCGAGTTGACAAAGTTCTCGAAAGTACAGTCCTTAGCACCTGGACCTGTAGTTTTATTGGCACCAAATTTCGGTAATTCAATGGGAGATAGTTTTTTAAGTGTTGATGAAATGTCTTTAGCAATATGTTTGACAAGCGTATCGGGCTTTTGAGGGTTACCTGCTTTGACCTGGCATTTGGTGAGGGGCAGCTTAATGGCGGTGTAGGGCCAGTTGACCGTCTGGTTCACATAGAGGGCCCGTACGATGTTTTTGTCGCCAATTTTGTGCAATTCAAGTATGATGGCCGCCGCGAAGGGAGGGTACTTGGGTTGAGGGTCACCCAGAGCTGACAATACCGATGCGATTTTGAAGTCATGCTATTATTTAGATATATATATATATATGATATCAAAAAATTTTAATTAATTAACAACCACTCATTTATAAATTTAAAATTAGTCTTTTTAAGTTATAGTGATTTATGGTGTTAATCACTTACCGAGGTATAAATGAATACTTTCTTAGGCTTATCGGTCGCCTTAGCGTTAATAACATTATCCATATTTTTCTTGAAGTCCTCAAGAATTGGCCCTAAATTTAAGATTTAATAAATGGTAAAAATATACATATGAACACTTGTGGCAACACATACCAGCCCTAAGTCTCTGTGCTTTAGTGGACTTATAGAAGAAGTTGAGTCTCTGGGACAGTACGTCACCCATCCTATCGTAGATCACAGGTGTGGCCCAATCGGGCGATTGAAGTCCATTGAGTTTCTCACAACGGATACAATCAAACGCTTTGGTCACTGAATACATGTCAGCCTTAAGTCCAGTCTTTTCTTTCGTGAATTTGTATAATTCCTGAACATTTCAATGCAAATACAGTATAAATAAAATGTTTTTGTTACAAACGTCTATGTTTTAGTTGTATTGTAAATATCTGTCACCTGTATCTTAGGGTCGGCCTCATAGGCCTGTACTTCAGGAGTCTTCAGATTTTTTTGCTCCTCTTCCTCCGCGTGCTCACAGTCCGGCTCTTCGTATAAAATCTGAATATATTTCATAAATTAATTGATAAATTTCTAAACGTTTTTACTTTGGAAATAATTCACTAAAATAAGTAAATTATTGAATAATAATGTATATAATTAATTAGTATTCAATAAAATTGAAAACAAAAAACATTAATCGATTTGAAAATAAATGTTTTGTTGTCTGCTATGATGAGATCATTCAGTGATTATTTATTAGATAAATAAATGGAAAAAAACAATTTTTTATTGTATTAGACATACGCTATCGATCTTCTGTGGCAATGAAAATATCATCTGAAATAGACATTAAAATTATTATAATTAGGTACAGGTATTGTAATTGTCAAAAGTTACCGGCTGCCATTGTTTTTTATTATCGACTGTCGGGGGCCACAACTTTTTGGCCACAATGGACAGGGTGTCGATACATCGTTGAGCTGCCGATGCCCTCAAGAAAGCACTTTTGGGATTCTCATCGATAAACTTGCCGTACCGTTGCTGATAATAACGGCCCATATTATACGCCTGATCTATACCAGCCTTAGATTTTGTGATTCAATCAAATATATGTATAATTTTTATTTAGTTTTATATATTATTTCTGTTATAATGAATACATCAGTCAATTGTGAGCCTCCGTTAGGGAATCGCTGCGAGTTGTTGGCAGCAAATGGATCCAATGGGTAGGTAGTCCAGGGGGCTCGGATGCCATGTCTCATAAGCTAATTATTTATCAATTTTTAAAATTTAATTATTGATTTTTTTGACTAGTAGAAATATTTAGTTGAAATATTTAGAGAAATTCTTACTTACAATGAAAACTGACTTCAAAGTACTCAAGTCATCATCACTGGTAGGACAGACACATTGATTCTGAGCCCAACTACTTGTGCTAATCGACAGAATCGTCACCACTATTGCTAAATAACTCATAATTTCTTATAAAATAATTTGTTTTAAAACTATGAATAAGATATTTAACTATCGAAACCACAGACTATAAAACACAACTTATTTATAATCAATCGAGTCGTGAGATTCACTCTTTAAATACCAAACAAAACCGATTTAAATAAAAAACTTTTTTCTTATTTTATAAAATTAATATTTATTAGAGTTAGTCAACATACAAATGAGCTAAATACCCTTGAATATTGACAGCGAGGTATACTCACCATAAAATATATTTAAAATATATAATTTATATACTTATATTACATACGAATCAGTGGCGTATTTATAATATAGTTAAATCAATTGGTGTACTGGTATAATAATTCATAGAAAATAAGTTTTATATAAAATATTAGTTGTATTTTCATATGTTATGTCAATGTTCTATGTATTGTCATATTTAACATTAAAATATTTTATTAATTTATTATTAATAAAAATTCTGTAAAATATGTTTAGAATTTAGGATTTTTATTAATATTATATATATTTGTTTATATAATCAGTAGATTTGCAGCAAATTCATATGCAAACACAATTAATTACTATAAAATTGTATTTTAACTAGAATCTCACAAATCATACAATATGTATATTTTAAAAATTCTGACTAACCTGGCGGGTAATGTAATAATATTTTAGTAAAGGATTATATTTTATTAATAAACACTTAATTTTTAATAAAATAATTTTTATTCAAGAGTACTAACAAGTGAACACAACTTTTAAATACAATCGATATACTCTGTATACACTACAGTATATTCTGATGACATATTCTTAATACACGTCAGTATACCACTGAATGTGGGCTATAGTTAACTATAGTTATACTGTATTTTGTATGTTTGAATGAAGGATCTGTTAAATAGTTTTACATTTAAATTAAATATTTTAATTATTTATTAGCATTTGTAATGTTAATGACAATGGATAATAAATATCAATGATAATTTCAATGAATAAGTTTGTAATATTTATTTCTATAATTCATTCAAAAATACAAAACTTTCAATGAATTTTATCATTATGGCTAAAAATACTTTGTAGTATAAATCATTCAAGTAAATTAATATTTTACGCAATAATTATTGTTTATAAATAAAATTATGACTTAATTACTATTTATACGGGACTTCATACTATTTAAATAAAACTTTTAAAACTTTTCTGTCAATAATTTAATTGTTTTTCAAATGTCTCCATAAGTGTTCCGCCACTGTATTGAAGGACATCATAAAACTAAAAACTAGAAGTTTGTCATCAATTGTCTACTGAATTGATGATTAGATTTTTTCACCATTAATTATTATTATCCCTAATTAAATAATCATAAAAGTCGTGTTAGACTTTTTTTTATACTCATTTATTTTATTATAATTTTCACTGCAACTGCTTTAATAATTAATATATACAAAAATATTATGTCATAAGTATTTATGTTTTAATAGTGTGATCAAAGGTAAATGTCTTTACAGTAATAAAGTTGTTAACAAAGAATAGTTACGAAACTTATTTGTAAAACTAATTAATTATCACAAAAATTCTGAGAGAGAGAGAGAGAGAGAGAGAGAGAGAGAGATTCAAAGGAATAAATTGAAATTAATACTGTATTAGAGTTAAGTATTAAATTAAAAATCAATTCAAATTCCACTCACAACTAAATTTACACTATCTTTACATTTGTTAAAAGCATTAAATCATTAAAATATTCAATTTACAGTTAATGAGTATTTTTCTCCGTCAATACTTATGTATAGTCTTAATAACATTTATGATAATTCACTTCAAGATCTGTCTGCAATATGGTATAAATTATGAAGATTTCTAGTCTAAATATTATATTTACAACTATAACCAATTTTAATTAAGGTTAATACAGGATTTATAAATATTAATTCTAAAAATAATGTAAAATTAAAATTAGTAGTCAAAAGTAAATTGTGTTTAAAGGCTCAATTATATCTAGATATAATTATGATGATTTGTAATAAAATAATATTTTTCTAATGTGCAAAATACTGTACAGTATTCATTAGTCTTTGTAAAAGTAACCAGTACCTAGATAAATAGTTCCAACTTTTGTTTAACTTAAAATACCTGTACTAACTTAATTAATGAAAATAAATTCAATACATTTATTAGAGATTTATAAATGAAAACAAAATCATACAAACTACAAACTCGTATGAACTTAATTTTTTGCAAATAAATAACTGTTCAAGCATGCACATAAAACTAAACCAAATTAACAAACTTATTCAACAAACTAATTTAGCTTAAATCTAATTGTGCAGGGTGCAAATAGTATTAGCCAAGCATGGATGTACGTAATTGATGTGCATAATGTGAAAGCCATGGGCGCACCGGTATGTTGTTTGTGCTGCCGAAGCGTTTTGTTGTTTGTGTCTATTGAACACACAATAAGCCACCACATTTTAATTTCATAACTCAGTTTATTAATAAAATCAGTTTTAATTAAATAATTATTACATGTATTTATAGTAATAATCACACATTTTATACGCGCTTAACGTATATAAGCGTACATTTGATGCCATAGTCCGGTGCTGTGTATCCATACATACCATACCATTACCGCCTATCCATACACAGCGAGTGTGCGTTCACTACATATTAATTGTAAAACAATTTGCATTTTATTAATTCATAATTAGTGCGAAACTTAGCGAGTGTTTCAATAAATTAATAATCATTTTCATCCATTATATCGCAAACAAACCACAAGTTTTGTGCACTTTATTCACTAGTTTCATAATCGCCGCGAAAGTGTGCCTCAAATCCTCGGTTGCATTGAATCCACGGTTTAATCGCCAATAATATAGCCATCGATACAACAATCCTAACACACAATGAGTGATGACTTGAGTAACGCTAAGGTCTTTGTGGGACGACTGCCCGATGGCTGCACCGACAAGGACTTGGAGGACCTGTTCCGCACGTATGGTCAGGTCACTCAGGTGGACCTGGTCGGCAAATATGGGTTTGTGGTCAGTATAGCCATCACCACACCTCCACCACACCCGCACATACATCACCACCAATTGTCTATTACCACCCCCTGTCCCCCAATTCAGCCAATAGATTATGATTAGATATATACACCACTGTTATATGAGTTAATAATAAGTTGTGAGATACCGGTCCGTATTTGTGAAGCCTATTGATAGTATTGGTGATAATGAATGGTGTGGTGTGTGTATAGTGTACTGATGTCTGAGTGTCTAATCTATTGATTATCTTTCGACAGCATATGACTAAACGCGAAGAAGCGGACGAAGCGATTAAAAAGTTGAATAATTATAATTTCATGGGATCTCAGCTCACCGTTCAGGTATGCACTGCCAGATAGACATCGTAGGCATCCCTTTCCTCGACCCTCTCACCTATGGACACATGGAAAGCGTTGAATTAGTTTTAGTTTTTGATTATGAATCTAAATTATGTTTGATTTATCTATCGTTATGTCCAGTGATTGACAAACGATAAGTAAAAATAGTTAATATAGTGAATAGTCCACTCGTGGTACCGGTATATCATGATTATCAGATTCTATGTCCGCTAGTTTTATAACAGATTTTCACAAATCATTATGAGATAGTGTACAACATTATGGTTAATATTCTAGTCTAGTATCGAGTTGTGTACTCTTTGTAAAGCCAATAGTTAGCAATTGTTTTGTTATCTCATTGTATTAATTGAATTGTGTTTTTGTTCATCCATTTTATGGCCATAGATATCGACGAGTAAACTGAGTAACACAGGTATGGACAGACATGTCATCTGATACGACATACGGTGTCTATAATGTACTTTTTGTGTTGATTGTAGGGAAACAGCGAAATAATAATTACCAGAATAACAACCGTCGCGGGGGTGGAGGCGGCGGACCCATGAAAGGGCGCACACCCTATGGCCGTAACAACCAGTATAACCAGAACTCGCGAATGGGCGGTCAAAACAACTACAATCGCTTCGGTGGTCCCCCTCCTGGTCCGCCAATGGGTCCGCCCAATGACTTCGGACCGCCCTATGGCTACAACGACATGAACGCCTACCCGCCCTATCAGCGCGAGCCGTACGGCTATCCCGACGCCGGCGGCGATCCCTACGGATACGACAGACAGCAACAGATGGGAGGCGGCGACGGAGGCATGCGATCCCTCGCCCCGTACGACACGCAGCCTCTGTATGGTAGAGGAGGTCCGGCGCCACCGGCAGCCCAGAGAGCGGGCCCACCCGTTGCCTCGCAGCTACAGCCGGACGCGTACGGTCGCGGCGACGGGGGTAACGCCGCCTACACGACGCCCATGGCGTACGACTTTAACCGATCGATGGGCGCCGCCGCCGCCCCACAGGCCGACCCCTCGGGAGGGCGGGGCATGAATTTTGGCGGCGCTGTGCGCAATGGTTACGGCGGTGTCGGCGCCTATAACGCGAACAGAGGTGTCGCCGGCGTTGGTGGAGCCCAACCGCCCCCTCCGCCGCCGCCCACCGGTCGTTGGCAGCCGTACTAAAAGGTAGACTCAATTCCCATTGATATGACTGACCATCACTTGTGTTGTTATGAATTAAAGCGTGAATTGATTTGAAAAATATGTGACAAAAAAGACTAATAATAATATTAATAACGTTTGACTTTTAGGATTAATTATTATCTATTTTTGGTTCACATCTCTTATTATGAATTTCCACTTTGCATACAAAACCTAAATATTAATTTCATTTTTAGAGATAAGTCTACTCTCTATCTCTCACACGATCTATAGTGAACTCCCGCTATACTGAACACAACAACTCCTTACGAAGTTATTAAACAAAGAGTTCCATGTATTTGTCATTCAATCTCTCAATTAATTAATCCGGAGATTTATTTTCAAGTCTATATATGATATATATTTTTAAGTGTTTTAAAATCTTATTTGTGTCTAATTTTTTGTTTTAATTATAATTTTGTCAATTTTGTTTCGTGTCGACTATTATTTGTAACCCAAAAATCTATGCAAAATAAGACATTTCATAGTGTTTTTGTGTCTTTAATTATAATTAATTATTTTTATTTCTAATTATTTGTTTGTTTGTTTTTATTATTATTATTATTTTCTCATACACTCTACGGACTGAAAATAACTTTTTATGATTGTAATATTACAATTAGTTAAAACAAATCTGAAACTGTTTGTTTTATTTCTCTACCAATTGATTGTATGAATAAAAATAAATGAATAGATTTCTATGAAATCCCAGCCCTCTCTCTCTCTCTCTCTCCCTCTCTCTCTCACTCACTCACTGTCTGTCTCTATATTCTCGATATAATGAACACTTTGATTGTGTATTCATTCCTTCGCAATGAATGAGTTATGAAAATAAAAAAGTTTTATGTTTTTTATTTACAAACATTTTAGCAAAACCTCTGACTCTCATAGAGTGAGACAATCGACTCATTGCTTATGACAAAACAAAAACAAAAAATTTTAATTATTAGTTTAAACGGATTTGAAAATTTTATTTTTTATTTTCAATATGTAGTGTAAAACGATTTTGATTTTTTTGTAAAATATATTTATAACTACAATAATAATTATGTCTTTTAAATTGAATGAATGTCTTGATGAAACATACAATTACCATACAAATGAACGTAACATTAAAAATCCTTTTTGACAAATAAATCCATTGAATGTTAAAAGAAAAACTAAATAAAACCTTAAAAATTGAACTGAAGTTTGCGTTTTAATTAATTAATCGTAATCTCTATGGGTGTGTGCGTGTGGATCGGGAGGTGTCTACGCCTAGTAGCCCTCCCATACCTCTAACCAAATCTCTCTCTATAGTGAACACTCGGCCTCACAATTAGTATACAGAGAAAATATTATTGCCTAAAAATGTGGTGGATATTTGCCGGTTACTGTACCTCTCTATTATCGCACTAATACAGTGTATGTGACCACAAAAATCTGTGAATGACCTGATTATTACAGAATCCTGATTTAATACACGGATAACTCTCTGTAGTGTACGAATGAATTGACTGTACACTATACGCACACAAAATGAGACAGGTACACTGTATTAGGAATGAAATGCTGATAAACTGAATATTATAACTTATTTGAAACCGTGTGTGCATTTTGATTGCATTCATGATATGAACAGAATAATGAACACAAACTGTGTGTATATTCTGGGCAAAAGTATAGACACCTACACACGTGATAGGACTGGGGCTCTAAACCCTCTCTGAGCCCCCTCTCCAACACTCTCACACACTCAGAAAGTAAGTCTTATTTCTCTCTCAAACTCTATTATAAAATATTTCTCATAAATTTAAAAAGTATATGTCTATAAATGTACACTATTGGTATAATGTGTACCCATATATAACTCTGTGTAAACATTGTGTGAAATTTGTTACGAAAGTGTTTCATAAAATCACAAAATGTGGCCCAAAATCTAAAACATATTTTCCAAAAAAAGATTTAATTGGTTTAATGAACAAAAACCATATTTTGAGATTAATTTTTGATAACACTTTTCGAAATACAATTAATTACCCGTTTATTATGAAGTGAATCGTTACATGATTTGCATGCTAAATATTGCCCAAAATTATTTTATCTCAATAGTGTACACAGAGTTTTAATTTACTTGCATTTTGCGTCTATTATACACTTTATTATAAACACTTAATTATAAACACTTTATTATATTCATAATTCATATGAATTGAAAACAACTCAAAAACATTTATCATATTTTACACATTAATCAGTCTCTTAGATATTATCCAAAATGAATTGAAAACGCTTTTGAAATATAAATTTAAGGCAGCGATCGATAGTCTTATTTCTCTCTCAAACTCTATTATAAAATATTTCTCATAAATTTAAAAAGTATATGTCTATAAATGTACACTATTGGTATAATGTGTACCCATATATAACTCTGTGTAAACATTGTGTGAAATTTACGAAAGTGTTTCATAAAAATCACAAAATGTGGCCAAAAATGTAAAACATATTTTCCAAAAAAATAAGATTTAATTGGTTTAATGAACAAAAACCATATTTTGAGATTAATTTCTGATAACACTTTTCGAAATACAATTAATTACCCGTTTATTATGAAGTGAATCGTTACATGATTTGCATGCTAAATATTGCCCAAAAATTATTTTATCTCAATAGTGTACACAGAGTTTTAATTTACTTGCATTTTGCGTCTATTATACACTTTATTATAAACACAATTCATATGAATTGAAAACAACTCAAAAACATTTATCATATTTTACACATTAATCAGTCTCTTAGATATTATCCAAAATGAATTGAAAACGCTTTTGAAATATAAATTTAAGGCAGCGATCGATAGGATTAGAAAATAATTCAAACAATAGTTTAATTAAAATGACAGGAAATACGAAAACATGAAATAACTTTCTATTCAAAACCAAAAACTTTTATTTCCTTTTCAAATGCCGTTGTTATAAATGATATCTAATATATGCCTCAAAATCATTAGATGGGAACCAGTCTTCCGGACCACTCGTATGTCTTTAGCTCACGATTCAGATACTGTCGATAGGATTGTTGATGTTTTGATGAGACAGTCAATCCAATCAGTGCTGAGACACTGAGGCTCACCCCTGGATATTGTCAGGTAAACTAAACGATAATTATTTTATTTTATTTTTATTTAAACATATACAGTATATTATAATTAATATTTTAGGTTTTAGTACAAAACGATCTTGAATCGGACTTTCAACTTGTGATAACAAGGTACAACTTACCTGTTAGGTGACCTTGGTATAATTATCAATGGGTGATATTTTTAAAATAATTTATTATTCTTATTGTAAGTCTAGAATATATTAGATTTTTATGAAAATATTTATTATTTTAATATAATACAGTACTGTGATATTGATTAAATACTGTAGCTTACATTTGTCAACTAAAACACACTTTTAAAAATGTTTTTATAATAAATGAAATATAATTTTACACAAATAAAATATTGATTTAACGATTTTAATTAAATTATATATTCTATAATAAATACATTTACAGCAAAACTAATAAAAGTTCTCATAAAAGTCATCAATTCAAATGACATACAACTTATTCACTGAAAATATTTTGCTATACTTTTCAATCGCCGGAATCGCGCCATAAAGTGGTTGTAAAACAGAGATATTCTGTGCGGCGATTCGCATCCATACTATGCTATACCTGTGCGCGCCGTTAAGCACTGTATGTATGTTTCGCTCACTACATAGCATTAGACTGCGAGGGGAAAGGGAGACAGAGAATAGCGATTAGAGTCAGAGATAGCGTGTGTCTGCGAGCCTATGGTTGGCATTCGTTGGCTGTACTATACTATCAACTGCCAGAATATTTTTCGCTGTATTTTGTATTGTGTTTTGCAATGTTTTTATTATTAATTCAAAACCATACATAATATATTCATTTGAATGAATTCTGTGTTTAATAAATAGTTTCATGCATTGTATACGTCGGGCGAATCCAGTTTATTGTTATTACATAAGAGTTATTGAAATAAATTATTAAATTATAGTGTATTAAAGGCTAAACTAAAAGGCTAGCAAATTGCACCACAAATACCAGTGATAATGATATATCAATGGGAGAAAGTAAAGCAAAATACGCTCAAAGAGTGTGACATAAGTAAAGTGAGTATTGATTTTCTTGTTAAACACTCCACTAAAACCTACCTCTCCCTCCCATTCCCAAGTATAACCCCCTTCAAAGTCGATGCATACTATTGCTAGTATTATACTAGTATAACATTGTTCACTAGAATAACTACAGTATGCTATGGTTTTAATACTGTTAGTACTGTAGTATTCATAGAATTTAATATAATAAAACTTCACCTCCCATTCCCCTTACAATTCTGTATTTCTATGACTAATGTGCTAATGTATTGACTTAATAGCTAACCGGCCTCTGGTATGCCATTTATGTCAAGAATCAAACTCAACACTCAATTAGTATGGATTTGAGTAAAGTTAGCCAACACTCGCTTCAATTCAAACATATGTGAGTTTTAACACCGGTCTCAGATAACACCCCCTATCAGTCCCTTTATCTATGCTTTTAATTAAATACAAGTCTATCATTATTCTGTCTTTTTGACGTCTCTATAGCGTGTGGTTAATGTGAATATAAAAACATTTGCAAACTATTTACATTTACGAGTAAAATATAATTACATTCATGTGTACATCATATGGTTAACCGAATATATTATTGTATTTATTTCAGGAAACTTATCGGAAATTGAATGAGAATTTCCGGTTAAGACATATACAATAGGGATAATGTTTTGTGTGCACATTAAATGAGTGGAAATATTATCTGTTTGCTATTCTGTATGAGATATAACTTATATGCCATTTAGAGCATAGAATAAATTCTTTAATATAACATTGAACTTAATCTATAACACCTGTATATTCTCGCGGTTCATATATCGATATTACATTAGACTTCAAATATAACAAATATTAATTAAATTATAATTGCTAATAGTTTATTATTCGTGTCAAACAATAAGCAATTTACAAAAACACTATAAATATAACAACAATTGTATTTTATGTTCTCTAGATCAGGCACACTTTTCTTATGTATTAAATTTTTGATCGCATGTTATATGACAATTAGATATAATAATTATCTAATAATACATTTTATAGACTAAATGGAGTTGTGGATCACGAGTACGATTTGGTGCAAAACTACGATACACTGCAGGGTAAATTGGACCGTGTCATAGACCGAGGTGACTACCAACTTGGCTACCCCTGGTGGGTACTGCACACCGACTACGACGAGATTCTGGTGGTCTATCAGTGCCTTATTCTTAATGACGATCCCAACGATCAAAACGCTTCCGAAGGTATTCATTGAATTTCATTCTTAGAGAGAGAGAGAGAGAGATTAAAAGTCAATTCTGAAAATATAACTAATTTAGTATATTTTGTTTGCATTGTATGTATTGGTCAGACGTGTGGACAATCTATAGTCGGACTAAGACTATAACCGACGATCATTTGTCATACGCCAGAGATTTGTTATTGAAATCTGGCGCTAAAATCGACGGCTCAGACGAGATACTGTTCAAAGTAACCCACCATTTAGACTAGATACTTATTTTTAATTCATAGTGATCCTGGTTATTCATTTAATTTATACATATTATTCCCAAGACATGTCCATTGATAGTACAATCCCATTGATTGTTATCTAATTGAATTATAAAATGAATGATAATTTTTCATTAGATTTGAATATTATAATAACTTATTGACATTGAGATTCATACTAATTTAATACATCACTTATACTTTTGAACGTGTTTTTATTTTTATTAAAATATTTACTTAACAAATAACATGAAATCCATTTTTCAATTAACTCGAAAACCTTGTTTTATACCTTAAACTCAATAGACATTTCCACTTACTGTAAATGTATGGGAAATTCTTAATACAATTTACAAGTCTGTCAACCAATTTTGTTTTATAATATGTCAAACTAAACTCAATTTAATACATCATGTATTAGTTTATAGAATTGAATCCAATTGTATACATTTTGTACATTATATACACACTCAATGAACATACTGTATTGTATTAGTTTGCCAATAGTATACAATCAAATATAATGTATAAATAATCGGAAGTTGACTGTATTTCCTTACAAAACACATAATTCCCACCGGAATTCATGTCCAGAAATGAGTGCAAAAATTAGACGAGATACTGTTCAAAGTAACCCACCATTTAGACTAGATACTTATTTTTAATTCATAGTGATCCTGGTTATTCATTTAATTTATACATATTATTCCCAAGACATGTCCATTGATAGTACAATCCAATTGATTGTTATCTAATTGAATTATAAAATGAATGATACTTTTTCATTAGATTTGAATATTATAATAACTTATTGACATTGAGATTCATACGACCGCTAATTTAATACATCACTTATACTTTTTAATGTGTTTTTATTTTTATTAAAATATTTACTTAACAAATAACTTGAAATCCATTTTTCAATTAACTCGAAAACCTTGTTTTATACCTTAAACTCAATAGACATTTCCACTTACTGTAAATGTATAGGAAATTCTTAATACAATTTACAAGTCTGTCAACCAATTTTGTTTTATAATATGTCAAACTAAACTCAATTTAATACATCATGTATTAGTTTATAGAATTGGATTCAATTGTATCAATTTTGTACATTATATACACACTCAATGAACATATTGTATTGTATTAGTTTGCCAATAGTATACAATCAAATATAATGTATAAATAATCGGAAGTTGACTGTATTTCCTTACAAAACACATAATTCCCACCGGAATTCATGTCCAGAAATGAGTGCAAAAATATATATTCATAATTGAATAAAAATCATAGCCTATATTCATAAATAAACAAAGATTGTGCGAATTTAATAATTTATAAATTGATTTCTTATTTATTTATCTGTATTTTTGTTGATTTAATTGATTATTTAAATAGAGATTTTTAGATTATACGGTATTCCTACAAATATTCCTACAATAAATACTTATGAGAGACCAATGTGTGAAATACTTGTGTGATTTTGTAATAAAATAATTTCCAATTTTGTTGCTATAAAAAATTAAATTTATTTTCAAATTGTTATTCAATATGAATATAAAAATAACTAATAATAAATGCCTAAAACTGGTTGAATACTTATTATAACAAGAAATTGAATATTTTGGTATTGAATTGTCAAAAAACAAGTTTTCAATAATCGTTAAAATGCATAATAATTTATTGCCTAATACTTCAAGTTTTTTTCTCTCCGCTAATCACTCAACTCTTCTCTCATAGAAAAAACAAACAAATATTTTGATGTGTGATATAAGTGTAGAAGTGTTGACCAGAACTCGTATTTAATGGGAATTATAATTTCCAAATTCATGAGAAACCGACACTTTTTGCATTTCAGAACTCATTGAAAAGTATTGAATGAATACATTATTCATAACGAATTGGCAGTAGTTGTCGTCATGAGTGCAACAAATATAAAAATACATATATTTTATATAGTTATCTAACTTTTTATTTGATAAGAACCTGGTATTTATGTATAAATTGACTCATAACCTGCCTGTGCGCTCCCATGTAGTATATAAGCCTCGACGGAGCCCTTATAAGCTTTTATATTTTACAAGAATTTGATATTTGTTTTATAAATCATTGGATATTTTAGTGACAATTCTTGATTTATTTTGAGTCATATAGCTTACTAAAATAATGGCAACTAATACACAGAAATACATCTCATTTTCACTTCTAATAGTATGTTATGTACTCCATTTGAGTGACCAAGTTATCTATCCCTATCATAAGGCCGTCAATCAGACATTGAGTGAATTGGACTTAAAATCGGTATTTAAAAAATTAATTCAAATTATGAATTATTAAACTAATCTTAAAGATTTTCACTTAATATCAGTTGGAGGGGCACTGGTATGGCGTTTATCACCGGAATCCCAAAGAAGTGAACGGTTCCTGTCCTGAACTCGATGTTGTCGTTGGCAATGGATATGTGAATGTAACGGAAATGTAGGAAATCTTTGTGAAAAATTTACTTTTATAAGGAAAACCTGTTATAAATGATGAATTAATGTTTGAAATCCATTTTATAAAACACAAGTCACTCATTATTTAAATTATAAATCTATTTTTTAATCACTGATATAGTCGTGGAAATAACACAGTAAATGAGGATAGAATGGAGCAAAACCTGTATTTAAAGGGAAAGATAAGCAAGGTGATCATGTTGCCAGCCGGGTACGCTGTAGAACGACCCTGGTTTATCACTCAAATTGATCCGGTACTAGTCGTATACCAGGTCGGTGAAAACAGTACAGGTAATGGCGAGTATAACTCATTATTGAGAATCTCTCTCTCTCTCTCTCTCCCCCCCCCTCTCTCTCTCTCTCTTTCTTTCTTTCTTTCTTTCTCTGTCTGTCTGTCTGTCTCTGTCTCCCTCCCTCTCCCTAATGTATTAATTGACAACAACTAATCATTGTTTATATCGACCGTTAGATAACTGGTCTGTTTATAGTAGAAATCAGACCTTAAGCCGAGATATCGTGGAATCTGGAGCACAGAGACTGATAGAGGCCGGAGCTGTCAGCGACTCTAATGGCACAGTTGGCTATCATTGCAGTGAATATGATAGTGATTGAAAGTGACGGCACCCGGCTATTATCACATCAATTAATTTAGTACTCATTTGTGAATCTTATTTTTTCTTATATAAACATCTAAATAAATTTTAATATGAAAATTCTGAACAAAATATGACTTATTCTGTACTTTTCTAATAATTTATTTATTTAATTATTGGTTTCAATAAACTTTTTAAAAACAATAATATAATTAATCTTATATTTAAGTAAATATTTATTTGTCACTTAACATGGTATCATATAATGAACTCTCGCTATAATAAAGTAAATGACACGTTAACCGGTATTAAATTACAATCTAGGGATCACATTAATAGGAACTATTTTGTAACAAATTAATTTTAGTATTTTTTCGAAAAGTCTATTAATTTATTATAACCGGTAATATAAATAACGTTTTATAATATTTTATACAATGTTTGAAAACCTAAACAATAGTATTAATTTCGAAAGTCATTCAAGTTTTGGTTTCATATATAATATTATATTTTTGATTAATGTTTAGAGCACCTGTAAATACACATTAAAATAACAATATTTAAGTAAACGTATTTTATTTTGATTACAAATACTTGTTTACTGTGATAACCATAGTTATTATCATAATATTATGACAATGTCAACGTTTGGCATATTATTATTATTGCTATTATCCTGTACACTAATCACTACCATAAGTGTTGGGATGGTTGATCCGTATTACCGTGTTTCTAGTCATACATTGAATGACTTTGATTTGTCCCAGGTATAATAATTAAAATGATGCATTGAATTTGAAATTTAATATACAATTAATATGGCTTATTATAATGCATGACATTAGTTGGATGGGCACTGGTACTCAGTTTACAACCGAAGTCCCATAAACGGTGTCTGTCCACAACTTAACATCAAAGTTAGTGGTGGAGGTGTGAATGTGGTGGAAAGGTATGTCAAATAAAACAAATATTACAAAATTATAATTAAATTTTGTTTACTTAAATAAATAGTTTGGGAAACAATACGGTATTCAATGAGAACTTAGTGCCAAACAGTTATTTAAAGGGCAAATTGGAAAAGTTGGTGTCAATGGGCACCTGGACAGCTGCCTTACCCTGGTATGTGCTGCAAGTGGACCCTCTGTTAGTCGTATATAAAGTGGTAACCTNGAAATTAGTGCCAAACAGTTATTTAAAGGGCAAATTGGAAAAGTTGGTGTCAATGGGCACCTGGACAGCTGCCTTACCCTGGTATGTGCTGCAAGTGGACCCTCTGTTAGTCGTATATAAAGTGGTAACCTTTGAGAAGAATGAGGGTATGACTCAAAAATTAGTCATTTTGTAAATATTTTTATAATTATTACTGTAATAGTCTGGTCACCAGCTAGATATCAGCCTGGGGATTGGGCTCACGCCTATCACACCGTTTTTCACACGTTTTTAACCAACTACAGCCTCGACAGTTACGATTACCCCTTGGCCCTATAGTAACGGACCAATAAGCAACGTCAATAAATTGTAGTGATTTTATATTTTTGTGCAAAAATTAATTGTTAATAATATCACAACTAAGCGACTGATTTAATATGAGTTTTAAATTTCATATAATTATGACTACTATTTCACAACTCATTTCCAGTTGATTTGATTTTATCATTTATATATAAATAATAATTATATGTTTTAAAAATCACATTTGTGTGACTCAATCGGAATTTTATTAACATCTAATAAATTATTAGTAATAATAATAATAAATCATTTTACAAACTATTAATTAATTTACTTTAAACTCAAATGATTTTCAATTACATTAAACTAATCAAAACTTAAGTACAGTGAAAATCTGTTCAAGTTAAGTTTAAAGAGTATTTATTTAATTCTGTACTTTTCTAATAACTTATTTATTTAACTATTGGTTTAAATAAATTTTCAAAAGTAATTACACAATATATCTTATATTTGAGTAAATATGATATCACGTAATGAACTCTCATTATAATAAAGTAAATGACACATTAACCGGTATTAAATTGCAATTTAGAAATCATATTAATAGAAACTATTTTTAATAAAATTATTTTTGTAATTTTACTATTTTTTGAAAAGTTTATTAATATATTAATTACCGATAATATGAATAATATTTTATGTTATACAGTGTTTGTAAATCTAAACTATTGTATCAAATTCGAGAATCAATGAAGTTTTGATTGCATGTATAGATTAACCATGCATCATTACGAGTAATTTATTTTTGGTGTAAAATTACTGGTAACATTACGTAACTTTACATTTAAGCGTAATTTATTAAAAATAAGCAAAAACTTGTATTCAAATGACATATCAATGAAATCGACATCGGAATCAGAGTTATAATTAGTTATAATTTCAATGTTACTATTATTTCCCTGGTCAGAATCCGATGAATCTGAATAATTATCATTAAAGTTTGAACTATTATACAATGATTGAATGGCCACTAATTGTTTCACATGACATGACATTATGCTCTTTAACTACTTTTAAACGTTATGTCAAACATTTTCCAACAAATGGTTGTTTGAAACAAAATTCCTAACGATATTTAAATTACAATTATAACCAATTGAAGGGATGGGTACTCGGAGTGTGTCTATCGCTTCATTAATCTGTAGACGATTCGTACGAATTAAACGATTTATTGATTATGAGATAAACGTTATATTTGATGTGTATATTGTCAGTGGCTTATATTGTACTACTTCACAACACTTACAATATTCACATCAAATTAGTGGTCAAAAGTGGACACATTGTAGACACGATACAAGTGATAATAAGTGAAGAACTATAATAAAGAAGTACCGATTGAATGGTTAGTAAATTGTGCTCAATTTGAAATAGATATTCAGTGGTTGTTATATGGGGTGTGAACTGATACAGTCGGACAGACTTCATTGCATAGTATGATTATAATGAATGACATTAGTTGGAAGGGCACTGGTACTCAGTTTACAACCGAAGTCCCATAAACGGTGTCTGTCCACAACTCAACATCAAAGTTGGTGATGGAAGTGTGAATGTAGTGGAAAGGTATGTCAAATAAAACAATATTACAAAATTATAATTAAATTTGGTTTACTTAAATGAATAGTTTGGGAAATAATACGGTATTCAGTGAGAAGTTCGTGCCGGACAGTCATTTAAAGGGCAGATTAGATAAGGTGGTGTGGAAGGACACCTATAGAGTTGGTGTACCCTGGTATGTGCTACAAGTGGACCCCTGTTAGTATTATATAAAGTGAATATGTTAATGAAGAATGGTGGTAAAATTATATGACTCGAAAATTAGTCATTTTGTAAATATTTTAAAATATCACAGAATTATCAGACCAGTGGTCGATCTATAGTCGGACCCCTAACCCGAGTGCGGATAGTGTGGCAAAAAGTGTGCAAAGATTGATGGATACCAGAGCTGTCAATGCTAATGGGGAACTGGGATATCATTGCTACCAATAAGCACAAGAATTGTGAACATCAGTACAATTCAATCAAAACTATTACTATTAATAGCTATTTATATATTTAAAATTTAAATGAATTAATAATATTTTTTATGTATACACTATTCAAATGCCAAATTATCTTATTACATGACACTTACAATAATTATTGAAATGTCATTAATACTTGTTTAATAAAATTATATGTAATAATAATAGTTAATTTCAAAAATATATCTAGTTTATAAATAGAAATTGGAGGTTAGTGATTGGGACAATGTAGTGTGTACATTTATTCATAAGCTATTTTAAGACATGAATTATTTTTATATGCCATTTGTCTTTCATTTATGGAAAGTGTGTATCCAATGAATACTATTCATTCAAAGGTAGGCTACCTATTGAGGACAAACACCAGGGACACTGCAATAATAGGTGTGCATACACTGTATACTATGCATCATTTCCTTGCGGTATCATTGCATACCTGTGAGGGAAAGACTATCATTTACCATACATTTAATAACACATCTGATGTCTGCAGTTATAAAAACTGGT